GGAAATGACCTCTATATCCCTACCTTGGGGGGTGGGTGTTTTTTTTTTTTTTTGGGGGGGGTGTTTAAAAAAGACATTTTGTGTATATGTGTGTGTTTAAAATAACTGATACTGGGTATCATGAATTAATCCAAATTGGATTGCCAGGGTCATTGGACAGTGAAGCTGGTATTTATGCAATGACCTACGATGTAAAACGGTCTCAAGGCTTATTACTTGTGAAGCTGACAAGACAGTTAAAATGTGGAGAGAAGACGAAACTGCAACCCCTGAAACCCATCCGCTCAATTTTAGGCCCCCCAACGAAATCCGCCGATTCTAACTCTGTTGTTGTGAGACTGTTCATTATGTATCATCACCACCACCGTGTTTTGTAAGGACTTCTCAAAGTGCTTTTACTTGTAAGTTTCATTCCCTTGTTTTATTATTATTATTATTAATGTTATTCGTAGCAGAGTTTTGTGGCGCACGCTAAAATGATTTACGTAAGCTGTCTCCTCCTCTCACCCTTTTATTAATACCATTCACATATAGAGCGAACGAAGCTCGAGGAGGACTGCAATAAACCAGTTCCAACTGATCCTATATGAAAATGTGTTTTTCACTTTTTCCAATTCCTTGAACTAAAGGTGTGGGTGATGCAGCCCACCGTCCTTCAAGATGGTTGTCTCAGCCAGATGGCAAGGAGTATAAAAATTTAGGTCAAAATGTCAGTTTTTTTGGAATGTCAGGTCAATTGTTCATAACTTCATCTCCTTTCAAAGCAAGGAAGACAAATTCCTAATGTTAGGTAAAATTCCTAATTTCCTCATAATAATACAAAAGAAAAGGGAAGATAGTGAATCTCTTTAGTCTTATTGGGGGCCTAATTCCCTCCGAAGGAGTCTCATGATTAATAAGTTGCTGATGAATAACTGGGCCCCTAGTCATAATCAATCAAACCTGTCTATCACCAGAAGTCAGTTGTCTGGCTGCTTCCAGAAAAGGCACAGTGCTTTTTCATTTTATTCATCACTTTGCTGCTAGAACGATATTTTCACTTTGAAGTCTTCCTTCGTAAACTTTTCCCCCTTTTTAATTGAGCTTTAGTATGTAAATCTCGCATAAAACATTGTATGTTTTGTTCATATACGTATTTTACAATTAATAATTTCCTATAAATTTCATATTTGTCTAAATAAATGTAACTAACCCCTATTTTAGGTTACGTATAATAATTATTTAAGAAATAATTACATGGAGTTCATTATTTACCATAACTATTTAGCAACGAACAAGAGCTTCTTCTTTCAAATTTTCGCATCTCCTAAATAAAGGGGGTGTTTGGCTAACCTCGAAATCCTCCTCCACATATTACTTTGTATATCATAAAAATACTTTTGAAACTATGATTTTGTTCTTACCTAAATACTCCCGTAGTCTACGACTTTCTTTCTGCAAATTTTACCATACCCTTTGGCCAGCCTTGTTGCTCAACACTTCACATGGAAAAAATTGTGGGATCAAACTTGAAATGGCATGGGGGTGGGTGTGTGTAATTGTGTGCAGGTTCCCTTTCTTGTAGGAAAGAGTTAGAATAATGGGGGGAAAAAGATTTTATATATATACATATGTATGTGAGAGAGAGAGTAATCGTAAGTGTGACTTGTGCTGCATGCTTGCATGGAGTCTATATATCCAGTCGAGATCAAACGAAAATAGTCATCTTTTATTCTCTTAAGATAACTGGAAAAATTATGTAATCCTCATGGAGTCAGAATATTTGGTTTGTATTAATTTGGTGGGGGCTTTCTCTTGGATCTTATATATATATATATATATATATATGGACTAATAGGAATTGAGTCTAACAGAAAGAACTAGCTTCTCACAACATGCTTACATTTAATATTTGACAGTGTCTTAAATAAAATGTCTCTATAACAGAATACCTGGGCCTATTGAAAGAAAAGAAATTTTTTAAGGGATGGTCTGCTTTTTTTTTAAAAAAGAGACACTAATAATTTTTTTGAAACTTTTAATATCATTTTCTACTTTTATCCCCGTTAATTAGTGGTTGTTTTCATTGTTAATTATCAACACATGGGCTGAGAAATTATTCAATCACTTTCTTTTCATAAATAAGAGTGTTTTTTTTAAAATAAATTATAATTTTTTATATATGTATTATCTTTACTAATTTCTAATCAACTTTTTAATTTATATAAATCGGTTTTTTTTTGTATTTTATGAAAAAAATTGGAAGAAGGCTGGATAACGATCGAGCATTACTATTAATCTATTTTTGCTTGTGAGGAACATCGGACATAAGTGGTGCTACCCTCCCCAGGTAAAGCAGGTCCAGATCGTAGCTATCACCATAATGTCGCGTTTGGTATGGAGAAGTACACTACGGCCTTTAATTAATTCTTAATATAAAAACTGGTTAATTAATTTAAAAAGATTAAAAAAATTAGTTAAATTAGTTATTTGTAATAAATAAGTATTATCTTTTTTAAAACATCATTGCTAATCAAATATATTGGTTAGAACCAATGTTTTAAAAGCCGGACCGGAAGTCGAACCGGAAAGATCAACGGGTCATGGTTCAATCGGTCGGATCGGTCGGACCGTTCGGTCAGACCGGTGACGCAATAATTAATTTAAAAAATATTATATACATATAATTAGTATATATGAAAAATATCAAATTATTAAATAATTTAGAAATGCATTTAAATAATCTAAAATTATAATAAAATCATTGAAAATGGACTAAAACCTTATATATTTAATTTTATGTATGTTTAAAATATTTAATGATATTACAAATTATCAATTCATTCAAATCAAAATATTTTTTTAAAAGATAAATCAAATATCGAAACAAAAAGACTAGCGACTCACGATTTTAACACCACAATATATGAAATTTTCAATGAAATAATACTATATGGTTATAACTAGTCTAAAAATATATTAGGATATTTAAGGGGATCAATTTTTTTATTTTTCTTCTATTTTTTAAAAAATTTTAGTATTTTTCAGTCAGGCTAAAAAACCGTCCGGTTTTCTGAAAACCGTTCCGGTTCCCGGTCCAACTCCGGTTTCCGGCTTAATAACGGCTCAACTCCGGTCCAATCCGGCTCAACTATGTGAACGGTTTTTTGGTCCAAACCGAGCCGTTAACGAGTCCGGGTGACGGTTCAACCGGTCCGACCGTCCGGTCCGGTCCGGTTCTTTAATCATTGGTTAGAACTACTATTATTATAAAGACTATTTTGAAAAAAAAAGGATAAATATGAGGGATAAGATAGATTGGAATCTTATATTCAGAATCAAAATAAAAGTCAAACAAGTCCTTATATTAAAGATTGGAGGTATTATTTTTTTAAGGCAGTGCAAGTAAAAATAGGATTAAAATTTATATTTAAAAATATACTACCTCCAGTTCTAATTATAAGACCTCATTTATAGATTATAAACGAGATTTTATCATTAGCACGGGAGGTATTATATATATTTATGCTTGGTATATTAATGGAAACCGAAAGTGGGTTTCTTGAATATAATAGAATATTATATATTATCATATTTACTTTGCTTCTGAATTCAATCAATTTTTTTTTTAATTATAATCAGACTGTGAGTCTCAAGCTTTATGTGAGATCTAAGCCACACCGAAGGGGGGGAAAAATTTAAGCCATATTGTTTTTAAGTATTATATGTTTTAACTATTAAAAGACCTGAGTGAACAAAATAATAATCTATCAGGAGACTGAACAAATTTTCTTTTTGATTTTTTTAAATATTTTTTATTTAATTATGTAGGTCAATTTATTACCAAAAATATTAAAGTAATTATTACTGTATAATTATTTGTAGGTTTGTTGTTTCCATATTTGTAAATAATTGTAGAATCAAAGTAAAATTTGCCTATGTTTGGCATAAGGGAAATGGAAGAGAGGAAAGAGGAAGAAAAATTTTAATAAGCTCAATCTAAAAAATTGAAGAAATGAGATTTTAAAATTTTAATAAAGTAAAGATGCAAGATAAAAAAATAAAATTTAATTAAAAATTTTTAATCTCATTTTTTAACTTTTTAAATCAAGCTCATTAAAATTTTTTACTACTCCCTCTTACACAACACCCAAATGCCGTTCTTTCCTAATTCAAATATTTAAAACAAAAATTAAATGTGCGCCTTTAATCTATTGATGACTTTACATAATACTCCTCCGATCCTTAATATAAGACCCATTTAACTAATTTGATTAGATTAAGGAAGTTAGGTAAGTTAGTTAATTATAAGAAAAGTGACACATTTTTCCTAAAACACCACAATCATCTTTTTTAATACCCCTCTCCCTCTTTTACTTGATTATGGATGAGGGAGTATTCATAGGGGTAATTTAGAGAAAATTGATAAATTTGAGAAAGGGCTCTTATATTTAGGACCAAAACCAACTCAAGAATTGGGTCCTATATTAAGGACCGGAGGAGTATTTTATTTTGGTTCTTTAATTTTATTACGTGTTTTTAGTCTTTTAATGTCAAAACCGTCAAAAACAATAGTGACAGTGAACATTTAAATATTGGCAAAATATTTTTAAATATTAATATCTTATATTTAAATTTTAAAATAATGATGGTCATTATAAAAAAGATCATGTGTGACTAACAATCCTAAAGTTAAGAGACTAAAAAGATAATTTTTATAATTAAAAAATAAAATTAAAGTTTTGTATAAAGTTAGAGGATGAAATAGGCATTTTTATTCATAGTTCTCCTATTATTTTGTCATATGCTATTATAGTAATAACAAATACCACATAATAATTTATTTTATTAGATAATTAAATTTTCAGATGACATTGATAATTTAAACATTTCGGCATCGGGAGTGAAATTTTGACAATAATAATTTATTAATATTTTCATATCACTCACATTTGGAACAAAAATTCTGTTGACGGATGAGAAGGTGACAAGCATGAGTCTTGGAATCATTGCCCCCAAAAAATGCTGAACCTGCAAAATTAAAGCAAGATGCACCTTCCACGCTCTTGGAGCGATTATATGGCCAAATTTCATGCAAGTGAATTCAAAGCACCTTCTTCTCCCTCCCTCTCTCTCATCTTCCCTGCGTAAACAAACTCTCTCCTTTTCTCTTTTCTTCTTTCTTCCGTCAGTTACGATTACGAACTCTTGAAACTGCGTGATCCTTCGAGCATTTGAGCCTTTCGCCTGCCATAATTCACGCAAGAGATCAGTCAATCGCCTATACGAAACTGAGACGTTGTTGGGCAGTGTTTGTGGCTGTGAGAGATATGACTTCTGAGCTCATTCACAGAGCCCAAACAAGCGAGACCGGAGAACCCACCTTGGATTCACCACGTTCTTCGGATTTTCGAGGAAAACCCGCACACCCAGTTTCCCGAATGTTTCGAGAGAGAGTTCCTTTCTTCCTTATCGGCGTTGCTATCGCCACCTGCTTCTTCCACTTCTTCTCTCATTCCCCATCGCCGATTCCTGACTTGCTCGTCGATTCCGAGTTGGCTCTGCCGACTCGGCGAGTGCTGCTCGAGGAAGCTGCGACGCATCCTCGGGGTAAAACCGGGAAGGTGCCTATGGGGCTGAGAGGAAAGAGGAAGAGGATTCTGGTGACCGGTGGAGCCGGCTTCGTCGGGAGCCACCTGGTGGACCGTCTGATCGACCGAGGCGATAGCGTCATCGTCATTGATAATTTCTTTACGGGCAGGAAAGAGAATTTGATTCACCACTTTGGAAACCCCAACTTCGAGCTCATTCGACACGACGTCGTTCAACCCATCCTCTTGGAGGTTGACCAGATCTACCATTTGGCTTGTCCTGCTTCCCCTGTTCATTATAAGTTCAATCCCGTCAAGACCATCATATCCTTTATCTACAATTCGCCTCTTGTTATGATTAATATTATTATCATTATTACGATCTCTTGTTTAATTGGTCATCATATGAATTCAATGTAACGAGTTCTCCCTAGGATTTTTATAATATAACATGGCACAGAAATGCTGAGGAATGCCCCTGATTTTGGATATTTTTAACAATCTTATTTAAACATACCAAGATATGAAAATCATTAAGTTTCCATTTTAACTCTGCCTTTTAGCTTATTGGTATAATGTCAGAGTGGTTAGCTTCATTCTCTCTTTGACTTATCCTAGTTGATTGGCAATTGTTTAGTCCTTGATTCATATCTATTGTTTTTGGCGTGTTCTGGAGTCCACAAGACCAATGTGGTGGGCACACTGAATATGTTGGGACTGGCAAAGAGGGTTGGTGCTCGCTTTTTGCTAACTAGCACCAGTGAGGTGTATGGTGATCCTCTTCAACACCCTCAGGCTGAGACCTATTGGGGCAACGTTAATCCTATTGGTACCCACACTATATCTATAAGAGATTTAAAATCTTGTGTCACTCTTTCAAGTTTCAAAATCTCAGCTTCGTATTTGTCGTTTTGATATTTACCCACTTTTGCTGCGTGTTGGTGTAGGTGTGAGGAGCTGTTACGATGAAGGAAAGCGCACAGCAGAAACCCTGACCATGGACTATCACAGAGGCGCTGGCATTGAGGTTTGTTCCCATTACGATTCTCCTAGGCATTTGGTATTGTTATCTGACCTTTTGTTTTAGATATTACAGTATAGAAAATTAAAGTATAAAATATCACAGTTGGTTCTCATGCTTGCTATGACGTGACCGTTGTAATGAATTTATACCATAAATATTTTTAAAAAGTTGAGAATAGCTAGAAGCCTAGGCAGACGAGAATCATATATTAAATATTTTAATATCAGTACATTAAAACAGGGACACGTCAATGTCGCTTGATATCTGAGATGACAGTCTACCAAATCCTTCCAAAATTATTGAAAAGTGCGATGATTTTCCATGAAAGAATGGTTGTTGAAATTGTTGTATAGGTGAGGATTGCTCGTATCTTCAACACCTACGGACCAAGAATGTGCCTTGACGATGGGCGTGTGGTTAGTAACTTCGTTGCTCAGGTAAAGCTTTTTACTCTGACATGGTTCTTGTTAATTTGTTAGTTAGTGGGCATTGTTTCTTTAATTCTGTATGTAATTTGCTTTCGTATAAGATTTTTTAAACTACATTCAGGCACTGAGGAAGGAGCCGTTGACTGTTTATGGCGATGGAAAACAAACAAGAAGCTTCCAATATGTTTCCGACTTGGTAAGTTTTTTTTTCCCCTCCCTGTCTTGTTCGTTTGAAATTTTAACATCATAACTACAAGGAAAATTTGGCACCAACTAAAAAGTAAAAAATAAGAAATCTTAGGATAAACCCCTAAGGTTTCTACGACATTATTCAGCAGTAAAATCTTATTGACTTCTTACACTTATGAAGAGTTTGTGTAAGAATTTCTCTTGAATCTGCAAGCAAAAGCACTGTGTAGTATGCTTCCCAGTGTGATAGTATCTGTCGCCTCTTCCTTAAGTTCAAGATACATACTCCCGTAGGTCCTATTTATAAGTTTTAAATTTGAGAAAGAGTATGGTTCATTTTATAAGCTTTAATTTTAGTTTGACTAAACACTTAATGTATTTTTTTCTAATGTTGCCCTTAATCTGTGGAAACTGATAGGAAATGTTTGTTTGACATGACTATATACATGTGACAGGTGGAAGGACTAATGAAGCTAATGGAAGGTGAGCATGTTGGTCCTTTCAATCTCGGCAATCCTGGTGAATTCACCATGCTTGAACTTGCTCAGGTAAAATACTCACGTTCCCTCTTTTGTATATATCACTGCACATCTCTAAAACAATCGAGTTATTTTCATATAAAACAGAATCAAATTCAAATTTGCCACCATGCTTGACTTGCAAGTTCCAAATGCAAAGATAGAATGTGATAATCTTGAGATGAGAATTAGATTCTTAAGATGGCATGTGATAATCTGTACAGGTGGTACAAGAGACGATAGATCCAAACGCAAAGATAGAGTATAGGCCAAACACAGAGGATGACCCACATAAGAGAAAACCAGACATTTCAAAGGCAAAGGAGCTTCTGGGCTGGGAGCCTCTTGTGCCCCTTCGCAAGGGACTTCCCCTAATGGTGTCCGACTTCAGACAACGAATATTTGGTGACTCCAAAGATGCGATGGGCAATTCTGCCTCGTAGATTTACAAAGACAGAGACACATAATTATTTAGTGAAAATCATAAGCATGTATTGAATAAGAGGGACTCCCTGATATTTAGAAATATACTGCGTGGGTATATGTCTTGGGGCAAAATAAGCAGCATTGGTAGTGCCATGAAAAGATTATTTAGGTGTGTCATCCGGAGTTCAGTTTTTAATTATTGAGTTATTATATTTTATTGGGGAGTATAGTTATTTTGGTTAAATTACAATTAAATTATACCAACGTCTTTTTCACAATGAAGTTTTGCTTTGCTTTCTTGCTTATCTTTTGATGATGTTTAGTGTTGTATTATTATTTGATAAATATAAAAAAATTATTGGCATCTTCATTTTTCCATATCCAATAGTCTATACAGCATATACTAAATTTAGAATTATTTCTTCCCAGAGAGATAGAGAGAAATTAAGGTGATAAATATGAAAAAGGTTTTTGATAGCATCTTTAATTAGTAGTGCAGTGATGGGGAACTTTACATATCAAAAACCTTGTCGATGCGGGGCAGGAGAACTGTGGAACCAGTTCGATGTGATGAGGTGGTGAGTTCTGTACTGTACTGTTATCTTTGGTTTTAATTATAACATCTCGTTTGTAGTTTACATATAAGGTCTTATAATTAAAACAAGAGGTAGTATTTAAGTACAGTTTGAAAAATTTAGATTTATAATTTTTAGTTAGAAGTTTTTAAATAAAAAATATTTTTTCAAAAACTAATATTAAAAAATAATCAAAGTGTTAATTTATTAAAAATATAAAAATAAAATTCTATTAAACCTGGACGTCTAATTTTGATCTAAATAGTCTAAATTTGATTAGTGACTGATGAGTATCCTGACTGAATTCACGTATTGAAATACAAGTAAATATTAAAAGTCACAAGTGGCTGGCACCAACAGATTGCATGATTTTTGGGGAAGAGAATCCCCTTCGGCCTTCCCCTGGGTGTCCCATTTCATACAAATTACAAATTCATTCTTTTCGTGTTTCCCCTCAATTTCTGCCATTAAATCCTCCACTCAACAACATAATGCTTCTCTGTAATACTATAAGTAGACTTCTACTCTGCTATTCTATGCCATTAAGCAAATCATAGGTTGAAAGAACTTGGCTTCCCTGTAAATTGCTTCTCCGCTATTCATAATTCCGGTGTGAAGCTATGCAATATAAGCCATGACATTGACGAGAGTGAAATCTCTAGTAGTCATCCTTATTATGTCTCTGCTCCTCAGCTGGGTTTCACTTGGAGAAGCCAAAGCAGAGCATGAAAAGGCATTTACGAATGTGATCAAAATCCAAGGAATTCTGTATTGCACTTTCAATGGCACAAAAGGTCCCAAGGGCAAAGCGACTCGTGTTTTCTCTGGTAATTAATGATCTCGATCTTTGTAATTAATCATCTCAGAGAGTGTTAAGATTAGCTTTTTGAAGTAATTTTACGATATAAAAGGTCAGGTAAGCATATGAAAGAAATTTTACCCCAACTTGAATAAAAGTATTTATGAGAAGTCCGAAGAATAGTGATTTAAAATAAATGTTTTTATATATTATGAGATAGTTGTTTTTGACATATTTATCTCGAATGGTGCAAAATTACTAATGTAAAGTCGTGAATGTCAGGTGCTGATGTGCAGCTTAGGTGTGACGGGAAATTGGTATTGTCGACAAAAACAAATGGAAGAGGGAAGTTTGTAATAGTTGTAGATCCACTTGAAATTTTGGTATCTTCACTCCTGTCAAGATGTGACTTGTTTGTGCCTACGCCACTCAGTACTTGCGACGCCACGCTTCCCACTGTCGGAGGACTCCTCTCCACCCTCATTTTCCTGGTCAACTCCATCCTTAGACACCTTCTCGTTACCATTCTTGGCCCTTCTGGCTTTCACTACGCCCCCTCCATTTAGAGGGTGTTTGAATAAAGTAAAATCATGGTTTGGAGAATAGATTTTAGAGAGTAGATTTTGAAAGAATAGATTTTTGAAAAAGTGATTCTGATAAAGTGAGAGTGTTTAGATAATTGTTGTCAGAAGTGCTTTTTGATATGTAGAAATTATTAAAAAGAATATAAGTTTAAATGATAATTACATATAAAATATATTTCATAATATATGTTTATTTGAAGTAATAAATTTGTTAATAATATACATTTTGGCAACGTAATAAATAAGGCATAAATAATATAATTAATAAAAAATTAATGTGTATATATATTAATAAAATAATTAAATATGTTTTTAGGAAAATGATTTATTTTGCCAGAGAAAATATTATTATTTCTTAAAGATTTTAAAGATGAAATCCCATAATTTTTTTTCACAAAATTAAATAATCACACAAAAAAATTCCATATTAATTGTCTTAATAATAAAAGTTGCAACGAAATATATTTGTCCAAGTAGTTTTTTTTAACAACACATTACATTATCTGAAAAGAAAAAAGGAAATAAAAAGGACATGACTATTCTTGTATATAATGAACAATTTGATCTCTTATGGAATCACGAAGCTGAACCATGTGAGATAAAAATTCTATTGATGAAGGTATATGTGAAGATCCAACTACATCATCATCATTATTTTCTCCTGCATAAGAACCTTATTGTTCAAACTGAATGAAACCAAGATCAGAAATGGATGTTGATCTAATGAAGTTATGTATGGCCATCGTTGCACAAACAATTTGAACTTGTGTTGGAAAGTCATAGCTCAGCATGTTTCCTAAAGTTGCAAACTTACTCTTTCAAACTCCAAAAGTTCTTTCAATAGTGCTCCATAGACTTGAGTGCAAATAATTGAACGCCTCATTCTCATTTTCAAGTGCAGATGACCTTCGAAAATCAGGGAGATGGTAGCGTTCACGTCTGTAAGGACCAAGGTATCCCATGGGTGTCGGATAGCCAACATCCACCAAATAATATTTGCCTACATGAAATATATGATTGGTGTCAATAAACTTTGTTTTCTAATAGTTAAGCATAAATAAATTGTAGCAATTTAAAATATACCTTGAGGCGGATGGAGAAAGTTCATGGAAGTTGTGAGGGCATGGTCAAATATACGAGCATCATGCGCACCACCTTCCCATCCGGCCAATACAAAAGTGAAGCACATGTCCCAATCGTAAACCGCCATTACATTTTGCGCTACTCTTCCTTTTCGGTTAATAAATTTTGTTTGCTCAGTTGCATCAACAATGTATGAAACATGTGTTCCATCAATTGCTCCAATAACATGTTTGAAAAAGGGCTAGTATCGACCACCAGGCCATATTTTTGTATGCAAATACTGAAATGTTGGATCTTTTGGTTTGATATTGGACATAGCAAGTCTACAGCATGCCAGTAAGACGTTATGGAAATGTCTACTAATTGTCTCCCCTGAATGCTGAAATCTTTCTTGCTGCATCCTACTACTTAGCGCATGGCCAACAATATTTAAAAACATTGCAACCATTTCATGTATCTCAACATTTCTAGTTTCTCTTAGATCGTGTTGTTGCAATTCTATGCAAAGACTGAAGAACACTTCCCTTTCCATCCTAAACATGTTATAATAATAGGTGGAATGGCCTTGTAAAACGTCCTTTACCCATGCCTTGCCTATGTAAATACTCGTATGTTGGGGCTCTTTACACAAATGAAAAGAAGCGTATCCACCAACCACTACTGCAACTTGATTAACCCGTTTGTTCCGTCGTTTACAATACTTTTCTGCAATTTTAATTTCATCGGCCATTTTTTGTCTTGTCCTGTGCACATAGATATAAAATTCAGAAGCCCTGATATGAAATTACTAAACATTTAATAAGAAAATAAGTTGTTTAATTCCTACAGAAATTTAGTAGTTACATAATACAATAGTGCTGGTTACATCATTCCTAAAAATATATACAAATTATCGCAGTCATCTTCTAAGCAACACAAAAAGTAGTCAAATACTATAATAAGCAACACAAATGAAGTCTCAATCCTTAGTTGCATGCTTCAAGAAGATCAAGAGTTTTTCCTTCTTGTTCTTCAAAGCCACATACATTTCCCTTGCAATTGGCTTGTCTATAAGGAGTGTTGTGCACCGGCCAAACAGATCAGGATCATCAACAATTTCATCAACTTCATTAAGGTGCTCCATGACTCCAGCAATTGACATCTCATAAGCACGTGCCTCTTCTTCTAGCTTCCTAGTACGTGCTTTTGAAATCTCTTCATGTTCACGCTGAGAATCATTTTCATTTGCTTGAGCTATCCTAGTTAGTGCATCTGCTATTTTCATAGTGGTAGTGGGTTTCTTCTTCATGGATTCAACTTTTTTTCTAACCCCTAATGAGCTACTTAGACCTGTGCTTCTACCTTCACGAATGGTTTCCTGTCTCATCCTAGTGTTGCCTCTACTTCCTCCACTATTGTCATTAAATGTGACCGAATTAAACTCCCCACTTATGCCAGTTGGTGCCCCCAAAATTTCATCACTATCTCCAGACCCTTCTTCCATATCATCTTCAAGAACTCCTTCGCTTGGAAGTGTCATGGAAGAAGGTACCCATGACTGTGGTCCAGTTGCAGCTACAGACCCAAAGAGTTGAGTCAATTCAGCCCGAAATTGAAGCCCTCTTTCTCTAAATTTTTTGTAGCCTGGAACTTCTTGCACATTCAACACCAAAAATATTATACATTATACAAAAAACATTAACATGGAGAAAATGCAAGCTCAAATAAAGTTAAATGATTACCACTATTTTCTTTTCCCACCAATCATCAAGGGCAGTAACAGTATTCCTTTCAGCATCTCACCCCAAACCTGTCTCACAGAGCAGCCTATCCCATAATTGCCACTCCTTTCGCAGGGCATCAAATTTGTTCTTTAATTGGATTCTCGTATATACTCTCCCAGTCTTTGTAGTGAAGCTGTCCCCAATACTTGTCCAAGTAGGCTTTGTCAAGCTAGTTCCTTTTCTTTCCCCCTTTTCAACTCCTTCAATGCACAGGTCAATAAAGACCTTTGTGGTTCTTATATCCCATGAAGCTTTGCCATTTTTTTTTACTCATTATGCTATAAACCAATTACAACACTTCAGTCATCACAAGTTCAACCGAAAAAGCATGCCATTCAGTTCGGAGATATGATATAACAGGTATAGTATTTAAGTATAGCCACATGATCTTTTTTCCAGCAAAATGAGGTCTCATTAATAATCGAAATCCCAAAATTAAGGATGAATTTTTTCCCCCACCATTTAAGGGAATTCTTTTCGGTTAACTGACCAAAATTTGAGTACAACTACTAATTAAAATCCCAAACAGATTTTGGTAACCACTCAAACACTAAAAAGAATTCCCCTGACCAGTGGGATTTCAATTACAATTGGTTAACTGACCAAAATTTGGAACAGAGAAATTAGTTAACTCATTCATGAGATTTCGATTAGAGAAATAAAAACAATTTCAGCAGCACAAGCACCCATAATCCAACTGTATACACACATACAGAGTGTTTGACTATTCTGTCTCCAAAAGCACAACATACGAATATGGGAAAAAAGACACACACACACGAAACAGAGATCCAGCCACAACCAGAATTTCAAAACGAAATGCCTCTGCTCTGTCTCTCATTCTCATTTGCTCAACACATTACCATGAAACAAAAGCAAATGGTGAAACAAAATGAACAACTAAAGGTGGGAGGAAAACGAAATGAAGCCAGTAGAAGTGAACAAATCATAAACAATCGGTGAAACCAACCTCTGTGTGGGAAAAAAATCGACCAGGGAGGAAATTTGAAAACACAACAGATCCAGATGTTCGCATTAGTGATGAAAATGACTAACCGGACGTTCGCAAATGAGAGGAGACAGCTTACCTGAGTTCTGGATATGAGCGATGGAACCGGACAAGGCGACCTGAGACAGACTAAACAGCAAAGATATCAGAAATGGAAGGCTTCGATCGGGCAAACCCAATGCGCGGTCTTGTTCTGGCAAGCCTAGAAACACCTCATCGGCACTGATATTCCTGAGCGGTGAATGATCTCACTGGTGTGAAGAAATTTTTAGACTTTCTTCAGAAGGGGCGACGGCACAGGACCAGATCTTCAAGTGGGCAGAATGGGGTGGACTTTTTCCTCGGATTCTTCTCTAATGAGCAACTCATAGCAGCTCGATATTTTCGAGTGAGTTGAACAAGACCGGATCTTCAAGTGGTTATGAGGGCAATGGCAGGACGAATGGAAGAGAAGAGGCTTCCGGGTAGAATGGCTGATGAATGGGAGAAGAGAGTTGGTGCTTTTTCACCGTTGGAGCTACTGACAGGAGTAATAATTACTCCAACGACCGATTTTCCTTCTTCAGAAGCGACCCCCTCGTGCTTGTTGGCAAACCATGGTTTTCCTGGCCAAAACCAAGGTTTTGCCAGAAACCATGGTTTAAAAAAAAAAAAAGGGTGTTTGGCAATCAGCTTCCCCAAACCATGGTTTAGGACCCAGAAGCACTTCTGGAGCAATTGTCAAACACCCCCTTAGATCTTTTTTGGGATGAGCCCTGTCTTGGAGACTCACCATGTAATTAGTGTATGTTAAAGAAACTAAGCAAGTCACTCGTTTAAATAATTTGTACGAGATCAATATGTACAAAAAATTTTGTCTCGCAAGACAAAAGACATTCATTTTATATATGAACATTCTATGTGTAAAAACCTGTAGGCTGTATGTAGTTGCCCTCTCACCAAATAAGCCTCCTTATACAGCATTTGAAGTTTAGTAGTTGATAACTTGTGATGTGTTTGAGTTTGCTTAATGATTGCTGCATAGTTGATTTGGGAGTAGTTTTACCTCTGTGGTGTGATTACTAATTAAACGGTTAAGTTGATATGGTTAAGCTATATATAGTGGTTGACATGGTTGATAAGGTGTTATCATATCTCAATGACATCTTTTTCATTTAAAAAAAAATGTTAGTTAAATTGAAATTATATGTATTATTTATTTTGACCCACCAAAAACACGAAAAACATGAATAAATAAGTTGTTAATTCCGCAACAAAGAATCTAATAATCTTTACCCTTTCCTTTCCAAATTTTATTATTAAACTGTTACATATAAGAGAGAAATATGGTTGTTACATTGAGGGCAAAAATATTCCAAAAAAAAATCCTAATTAATCATAATTAAGTACCTAAAACCCTATTGCATATACAACTAAATTTACTATGACCTTAAATAAAAACTCAGGACTCGAGAGGGCCATGGAACCAATATTTTTCAAAAAATCATGATTTTTATTTTGGCCAACACTTAGACCTGATCTGCCAATAATACCCTGGGGCCCTGCCGTAGACATATATCATGAGGGTCTAATTAAAACAACAACAATTCTATAAATCTGCAAGAAATAATGTTATAGTTGTGTTGTTATTTTTGTGGCCGCAAAATATATATATATTTTTAAATCTTCGGATTAAGCATTCAACATTTGTCATATTAGGTATTGTAAAGTATAGACATAGATTTGAGAATTAAGGAATCCCCACATATCATGTTACAGCCTGGAGCTTTTTGTCTCTCTCTTTCAAAGTCAAAACTGATTTGATTGATATATATCCTCACGTGCACCGTCAAATAATGGGGTTTTTCCCCCCCGAATTTCTCATATCTCAGTTAAAAATATATTAAAATTTGGGAAAATTGCAAATAAAGACCTTTGAAAATATAAAATAGCAATTTGGGTACTTCAATTTACAAAATTGCTGTGAGAGACCGGGTCTCAAATATGAATTATAAAATGTAAGGAAAAAGACTAAATTGCCCTTCTTCTCTTTCTTCCATCATCTTATCTTCTTCTCTTTCCCACTGCGGTCCAATCCAGGAGTTCTCTCTTCCCTCTCCTTCTCTTTCTTCCATCACCTCATTTCTTTCTCTCTTCCAGTGACCTTAAGGCTTTACGTGGGGAGCATGGTGGAGTGATTTTATCGATTAAGGAGAGAGATTTTTTAACTGGGAAGATTAATGGAAGGGTAATGCTCAATGGGGGCTAGAGTTATGGGGATTTATGGATGAGAAATTCTGGTAAAAATTATATCAATGACAAAGTATAGATCCCCATTGCTCTGTCACTGCATCCAACTACTTGTCCACTCTAAGTTCCGCTGTGACAAGCAAAGCGAAGATAAATTCAAGGGGTGGGTGGAACTATCAATTTCACGCGCGTGTTGAAGAGCTTGGACGCAAGCCTTCTCCCATTGCACGAAATATTGACATGGAACAAAGAGAAGGGAAAGCACATGTGCGGTTTGGTTGGGAGAATTGGACCGACCCCTTCACAATGTTGCTGAATCACAGAAGCTCGAATGGGGTTTTGATTGCAAGATTGGGCCCGCCCTTCGATGGATGCTGCTAGGTTGGGAAGAATGATATGAGGTTGGGGCATCCTAGATCTGCGACCATGAAAGCGATGATGAGCAATATTTTTTTAGCAACCATGGGGAAAGAATCAAAGTGGAGGAGCTTGGGCACCTAAGATGGTGTTTTTCTTTCCCTTGGTTTTGTTTCCTTAATTTTAGTTTTGCTTCTTTCTCCCCCTCACATTACAGGATCTCTTCTTTTTTTTCTTATTTACTCATTTCAACAGAGAAATTAAAATTATATGAAAACCTTATCGAAACTTGTTATTAGTCTTACTTAACTTGTCATTTACCTAATTGAACTTGTCATGAATCCTATCTCAGAAGTGCTTATTATCAAGGAAATCTGTAAATTCTGATTTTAACAGAGAAATTTAAAATTGTGTCAAAACCTTATAAGAACTTGTCATTAGTCTTACTTAACTTGTCATTGGCCTAACTGAACTTGTCATTTTATAAATAAATGTGGAAATTCAGCTATTTTAACAGAAAATCTCAAATATGTATGAGTAGCTTATCAGAAGTTGTCATTGGTCTTACTTAACTTGTCATTTCATAAATAAATGTGAAAACTCAATCATTTTAATAGAGAATCTCAAATTTGTATGAAAACTTTATCAGAAGTTGTCATTTGACTAACTGAACTTGTCATTTCGTAAAGAAATATGAAAATTCTATCATCTTAATAGTTTAAGCTCAAATTTGTATGACTAGATTATCAGAAGTTGTCATTCGACTTATTAAAGTTGTCATTAGCTTTACTGAAGTTGTCATTCATCCAAGAATGTGAAAATTGTCATTTTAATGCACAAACTTAAATTCCTATTAAATGCTTATCAGAACTTGTCACTTGCGTTACTAAACTTGTTATTCATCTTAATAAACTTGTCATTGGCGTCTCATTGGCATTACATCAACACTTGTTATTAAAAGTTTGCAATAGGAAATGACAAGTTTGTAATAAAAAAATTACAACTCTGCAATAAGAAATAACAAGTTTATAATAGGAATTACAAGTCTGCAATATGGAATTACAAATCCATAATAAGAAATAACAAGTCTGCAATAGGAAATAACAAGTCTATAATAAAAAATAATAAGCCTGAAATGAAAAATCACAACCCTGATATAAAAAATTACAAGTCACAACAGAAAATAACAAGTCCAAAATAGAGAATTATAAGTCTAAAATAGAAAATTACAGGTCTAAAATAGGAAATTATGAGTCTCTAATAGAAAATAACAAGTCCAGATAACCATCTAACATCGATGACATCAAAGCTAATTTTGAACATTTCTTGACAATATTAGGTCCAAGCAATCATCTGATAACTGCATTCATGGATAAAGGAACATATAATTATCATTTGATAACATATAATCGTCTGAATGAGGGCATGTTATTGGTAGGCTAGGCTTCATTCACCTGTTTCTCAAAATGCATCCTCTTCAAACCCTGCAACAAGGATGTTAAGAGTTGTTAGCTTATACTTGAAAGGCTTGGATTTCAACTTTTGTGCTTCTTGTTGAGCTTATTGATTATTTGTTCATCCCTTTCTAACTTTAGAGATAAAAGACGTTGGGACCCAAGCGGGTGCTTCACTTGCTTGGTTGAAAGAGCTATAAAAAAAAATCCTACCCACCCATAACTCAGCACAAACACAAATGAAATCTATTCGATGTATTGCCTCAAATACTTAGTTGAAATGCTTAGTTGAAAGAGAAGGACGAAGCGGGAGAGAGGAGAGAAGGATATGGGTTTGTGAGAACGAAGTAGAGGAGGATATGTAAAGCCGGTGGGTATTTTTGTCTTTTAATCAACATTTCATAATTGCAAATTGGGACCGGGTCCTCTGCAGCAATTTTTCAAATTCAGGGTCCCTGGTTGCTATTTTATATATTGGGAGGTCTTTATTTGCAATTTTCCCTTAAAATTTGCGTACGAGTATAATACTATAATAAACACATGATTTTTATTACTTTTTATTTTTAATATACAAGCTAATTAATTAATTTGAATACATTAAGGAGACTAATTAAGTTATTTATTTATAATAAATATATGTTTTTTTTAAATATTCTTACTAATTGTGTATATTAGTTAAAACTCCTATTTAATACTGCAAAGACCATCTTGAAAATAATGGGTAAATACGAGATAAAATGAATTGGAATATCACATTTAGAATTAAATTAAATATCAAACTAACTTTTATGTTAAGGATAAAAGGTGGTATATAAGACTTGTAGCAAATAATATATGGATTTAGATCTAAGAGGGAAATTATGTCCATCTTTTCAAACACGCATGTGTGCGAAGTCTTGGAATCAATGATGCGTTTTTTGTTTTTTCGGAAGATTGATTCATTTTCAAATGATTGTGGGCCTAGAAAGTACAACATAGTGAAGATAACAAAGCTCGAGTCCAAATTAATTGTGTGTCCTTCACTAATCATCATTAGTGGCCTAAATTCTTGAAGAGTAATAGAAGCTTTTTCTGTGCCCACTTCTTCCACATAGTAATCTTTTTAGGAAAAAAAATATGTTGAAAAATAAGCCCATGGTGTTCTCTAACAATAAAATGTGACCAGAAAGAGAGAAGAATAACACAAATAGTTGCAGATATATGCTTAAAACTCATAAATATATACTCCATCTGATCTTAAATTTAATACCTGTTTTGTAAATAGGTCTTATATTTAGAATCAGAGGAGTAGTATATATAAATATTAACTGGAAACAGATTTTTTTCTGA